AAAAAACAACAATTTTGAGCAATTTAATTTTTTTCTAAATTTTATATAAGACCAGTTAGTCTAGATTTAACTTAACTTCACTTAACTTAACATTTGGCCAACCTGTTATATGTGAAACTGTGTTGGCGGTTAGTTAAAACATAACTTAACCTGTAGATTTTAGGCTCTTTAGTTACGGCCTTGCGAAAATTGAGAGTGGTGAGAGAATCAGGCTTGCCAGACTCTCGTTATTTCTTAAAAATGAATAGAGGTCAACATTTTTGTTTACATGAATTTTTTTGATGTGGCATTTTAGGCGGCGAAATGATAAACAGCTGAAAAAGAAATTATAACAAGTAATTTTTAGCAAAAACAAAAAACCGACTTCAACTCTCATATAAAAAAATATATATATATATATATCTCATGATCCGCTGATCGGATCTTAACCAGATTAGTATGGGACCACCAGACACTACCTTTCCGATGCAAAAAGAATTTTCGAAATCGGTTGACGTGGTCCAAAGTTATGCGGTAACATACATAAAAAAAAAAAAAAAAAAAAATATTCCGACGAACTGATAACCTCCTTCTTTTTTGGAAGTCGGTTAAAAACTAAATGTTTTCGCTTCTGGCTTAAGTGGACGTGTTGACTAATCATTGGAAATTTCTTACGGTAAGTTTAATTAAATTAAGTCTAGACTAACTGAGCTTTATGACTTTTAACTGCGGGCAAACTTTAAAAAAAGAAATCATCGCAGACGAATTGAGAGGACGATTCTACCTTTCTATGTTTTATGATGCCTAAAACCACATACATACATATGTACATACATCAAAATTTCAAACTTTGAGCAGAATTCCCAAACATTTTTCAAAAAATTTAAAAACTCGTCATCGAAATTTCAAGCTTTTAAATTAAAGCATTTAGAAAAATTCTGGGTATGTAGTTTAGTAGCCCATTGAACATTAACGCTTTAACGGAACCTATCTAAGTAAGAAAATGCGCAACACTCTCGGTTTGATATTTGTGGTTTTAGTTATCGCATGACCTATGTATAGTTTTATTAACAATTAACAAAACAAATTTATCAAGAAAAACATTGTGAGTATTGTAGAAGAATTCACTGGACGCTTTTCACTATAGGTCTGTAGTATTGCAATATGGAATGAGATAAAGTTTTTATAATCTCGCGCAGTCGTTTGGCAAAGCCGTTCAACATTCATTATTGCCGTTTACTAATTATAACTATCTAAGTATGAATGATAAATATGTATGACTCAAATGTCTGGCGTTTGTCTAAATTCCTCCATGACTACCTAAGTAATACATATTCATTAGTATTACTAATTATAAAATTTTATAATTATATACTATTTTTTAAAAATGTTCGCCATTTTGCAACACTTAAGAACACATACATA